TCATCCCACTAACTTGATGACTTTAAGGAGTAGAAAATGTTGAGAAGTTAGGTCCGTGGCACACTATATATATGAATTCATCCCAGCTTGAATCTCATCAAGGCCAAATCAATTTCTCAGTAATCCTAAGAGAAGCAAATGGCTAGCTCAAGGTTTTATGCCTGTTTGGTGCTACTATTATTGCTTTCATTTCCATGGTCTGAAACTCGTCCTCTTACTCCATATATAGAGGGGAGGAACTTAATTGCTTCAATTCAACCAATAGCCGCTAAGGAGGCTCTGAACAATAGAAAGGTAAATGGATACAACAACAAGAGCCTGCATGATTCAAAACGGACGACTCCTGGTGGCCCTGATCGCAGATATCCTTAGTCAAGAATTTCTAGAAATAATCAAGGATTCTCCGGAACAAAGAAAAGATTCTGCAAATGCTACATTGCTGGTAGTTTTGGTTGCATCCTGGCATCACATTTTGCATCAGTTTCGTAAATTTTTTCTTTTTCTCTTGAATGCTTGCAGGCTAGATGATTTTCATATTTCTTCTTCGTTCCTTTGGTTTTCCTTTACCGTTTTGGAATCCCTTGTGCTTTGCAGTTAATAAACGAAAGTGACGTGTGTTTGTCAATAGAAAATAAAACTGTTTCCTATCTCCATTTTCATAAAAAAAAAAAATGATAAGAAAAACTGTTTTATAATTTGTCTTGTTATAGATTATAAGATCAATACTAATACAAAGGAAGGGTTTTTTTATATTGAGCCCTCCTCTTTCCCCTTTGGTGGTCTTGATATTACAATCCACCATGAGACAAATTTAGTTTAAATTAATTATCATCCATAATTCTAGAAGAATTTAGTTTTCAAAATCGTTTAAAATTGCATGATCTCATAATTTTGTATGTGATCTTTTATTGATTTTTCAAGACTCACAATTTTTATCTTATTTAAATCATTGAAACCACTTAACATCGTAAAATTGTGCAATCTTACGATAAAAATTGCGATCTTAACAACCATGACCATAAGACAAGATACCCAAAATGAAAAATAAGTAGAAAACTTGTTTGACATTTGAAGTGGAGAATCATTTTCTAATATAGGAAAAGGAAAACATAAGAAAATGAAAAACGCAAAAAAGTTGATTTCCAAAATTGGAAAACACGGAGCTCCTGTATGGAAAGGGAAAAAAAATTGCGTACGGGGGACCTATATGAGACAAATAAAAGTATATGGATTAAAACTGTTTATTATTAAAATTTACCACCCATATGACCATTTAAAACCCAATATCAGATGGTACTGGATGGGGGATCTCCTTTGGTCCTCGCTATGCTCCCTCTACGGCTCATCTCAAGTTTCCGGTGCCGACTGCCGAGAAACGTAGAATCGGATCTATTATGGTAATGATTTCGTCCATTCTCTACAGTTTTCCAGTCGTTGGTATGCTTGATACTCTAGTTTGGTTAAATTCATGTTTCGTTACTGCTTCATTTTGATGAATCAACATGCAATCGGCTGACACTCTTTTGGGATTTAGGATAGATCTTGTTGCCGAGGTTTTGGGATCTCCTCTTTCCCGGAAAAGGAAACTATCAACTCACTCTCATTTGGGATCTCCTCCCTTTCCAATTTGGGAACTCTTTGCCGGTGACTGACTGTCTGGCAGCTTCTATTGGGATTTCCTTTCTTTCCAATTTTGATTTTCATATTTTCAGCTGAATTCTGTCACAGTTCTATTGTTCTAATGTCTATGAATACTTTCTTTTCCTGATTGATTAAATATTTTAAAAGTTATTGAACTAAGATGGATTTTCTTTTTTTTTTTCCTTGATTTTCATTTTCAGGTGCAGTTTGTGTTTGCGAGTTCTCTTGGAATTTTGCTGATCATGTGGTATAGCCTTTTCCATTGGTTTTTGAGAAGAATTTCTGTATGAATTAAGGCGTTATTAGCTTGCCTAATCCCAGTTCGATTTCTTAAGCTAATGAGTATTTGAGATTATACTTCTTTGCATCTTTTCCCCTGAATGTCTGTATGAATAGTTTGTTTTTCCCTAAATTCCATAATTAAGTCTAGAGATCAACCTTAATGAAAAACTCTTCTTCATGATCCAGACCCATATCCATAATAATTAGAAGAAATAGAATCCATTGCAATATATATTTTGGTGTGCTTGTTATATGCATTGTAAGAAGATGATGAAGATCAGTAACACCAATCCACGAAATATTAAATCATTAATTACACGATTAATTCTTCCAGTGCATCTCTTAAACTTATGGCTACCTATTTTGCAGCTCGCTTTTACTGGATCAACAAAAACAGGAGACATTTTCCTTAAGGCTGCAAAAAACATTCTCAAACCAGTTATTGTGGGGATTGGAGGAAAATCCACTTTTATTATATGTGAGGATGCTGATGTAGACAAGGCAGCTAAGGTGAATCATGAGGCGCTATTCTTTGGTCTGGTACATACATACATTTACGGCTGCCTGGTAAGAATTCAATTTTTTAATCCGTTTTGACGACAATTTTTGCAAGGACAATGGTCTTGTGCTGGTTCCTGTTCATACTTACATGAGAAAGTATATAAGGAGTTCTTAAAGAAAGCGAAGAAACATGTAGACGATCACAAAGCAGTGTTTTAAAACCCAAACCGGAGGTCAACTCATTTTGACCTCTGGTTTCGGTTGGAGTGGTTAAACCATACAGTTTGGTTGGATGATGTCATATATAGATTTTATATAAATTATATGTGATAAATATAATATTTTGCAAAATATGAATAACAAAACCTAATGGCTAAATGATAAGAGCACCCTTTAATTGTGGATGGATTGAGAGTTCGAAACACTTTGGTACTAATGTTACATTCTTATATCATTTAAAATATAATAAATGTGCAAACCATATCATCAAGAGTTATGTAGTTCGAATTTAAGGGTAAGTGTTCAAAACCCGACAACATCTCACTTTTTCTTATTATTAAAAAAAATAAACCAGTTGGTTTATCAAGTAATATTGGTTTTATCAAGGTGAACTCCACAAATGAGTTTTTGTCATCACCCAAACCAAATTTATAACCTGGCACGGTTGAAACAATTCAACCGGAGGGGCTGCTCCGGGCCATTTTTAAAAACACTCTCGCAAAGTTGATGATCCATTCAAAATTGGCACTCAACAAGGTGTCAACGTCCCCAGGTAAATTGGAGAAATGATATCTTTGCAATAGTTTTAATATGAAGTGTTTTCAATTTTAGTACCATATTAGAAATATATTTTTCATGTTCCAGCACAATACTGTTAATAATACATAGCCTGGCTAGCCCGTGAGGTGGTTTTTGAGTTTACACTGACGGTGGTTTTCTGAAATTTGTCAGATTGATGGAAATCAGTTCGTGTAGATACTGGATTACATACGATCCATAAAATAATAGTGCAGTACATCCCACTATTTTTTTGTAATTTATCAATCCCCGTACTTTGATGGTGAATTAAATCACCTCAATTACTTTTTGGTTGAGTTAAAAGAGGAAGGAATCAAGATACAGAAGTAGGATCAGGAGTGTGCATATGGCCCCTTACAACAATATCCCTACTCCAGCTAGATTGGCTTCTTCTGCTGTTGGTTTTTCATGTCTTGGTAAAATACCTTTTAGTTGTTATTAAATAGGAATTCTGCTGTGGTTCTATTTGTAGTATTATGGTTTTGTTAGTTGTTATGTATTTATGCCTTTTTATACTTTGCCTTTTATGATTCATTATCAGGGTTGGTTTAAAAAAAAAAATCATTTTTTCCATTTTTATTTTGTTCAATGCAGTTTTTGTCCTTGCATAGCTGATGAATCTGAAAGAAGATCAGAGCAAAGATGGTAAAATTTCATAAATAGTGGGGAGTGGACCAATGATTTATGGACAAGGAACTTCAGGTGGAGCTGCAAATTATTTTTATGGGAAAAAGTCATAAGGAAGGATGCGTGGGAGTGGAAGTTTGAAAGATTTTTCGATAGAGAGTTGAGACTTAACTGGAAAATGTGTGAAATACCATGATTTCTGATAGGTGAACTATTTTGATTTTTGAATAGTTTTATATTTGTTTTTTATTTTTATTTTTATAATTTAGAGTTGTCATAGAAAAAAAACTTATGTGATGCATTATGTTATTCTAAGGTTTAATTTAGATTTCTATTTTAAAAAATTATTTTATGTGTAATTAATTTATTGTCTATCATCAGAAAATGTGGTTGGCTAAAAAATAAATAAATAATTAAAAGGGCAAAGAGATGTGAAAAGAAAAAAAAAAGTTTACCTCGAGAAGTAAATCAACCAATGATCTAACCATAGTGGATTTGCCAGTTCCCTATCACCCATGATCATGACACCACCAATCTTGGGATCAATCACATTTAACAAGAGGCATAACTTCATCTCATCATGCCCTTCCATAGCAGAAAATGGATAAACCGGCCTCTGGCTTTCCTTAACATCAAGGTCCTGGAAACCATCAATTTCACAAACTTGATTCACAGAACTCCAAAAGCTGTTGAAAGAAAAGCGTACGTAAATCACAACTTTGAAAACTAACAATTTTTTCTTGGGTGCATATAACTAATCTCAAGTCAAACATCTGGAGTACATTTGAGATCATAATGACTTTAATCTTCCAATGTATCAAAATTTGATGAGAGAATAGAATGCATAAGACAATAAAATTAAAAAAAAAAAAAATCATACCTGTTCAACAGAGTTAATTCTAGTTGCAACATTGGTAACTGCAAAATGGAATTGAGACCTTCCTTTTCTACCTGGAGTCACAATCCGTCCATAAAACTTCTTCCTGCACCATCCGGAAGGACTATCAGTGGCAAAGCCTTAAATTGTGCATCCAAAGCCACTCCAAACCTGAAATCTTAGGACACTAAGAGCACTAAAAAAAAAAAATCATCTGGGTCTATTTAAACATAACTAAATAATAGCATTTCAGTTGAAATAGAATTACCCAAAATCCTAACTTTATTAATAAAATTAACAATCATAATAAAGAAAAACTCGGCAATCATGAAATGTAAGCTCAAGACGAAAGGGGTATGTCATAACTATGGAGCAAGAACAGAATGTAACTCTGAAGTAGGAATTTAAGTTAAATCGCTCGATCGACAGAGCACCTTGTGAGATGCTGAGGGAGATGGGGGGAAGGGGATGGCAGGCTTTGAAGAAGGAGAAAGGAGGGGGCGAGAAGCCCAGAGTGCTGCTGAAGAAGTCCCTAATACGGAGGCCATTTGCAGCTGTATTGGGTACGAGGGGTTTCTGTGAGTAAGAGTCTTATGTGTTCAGCTTCAGCGACATTGTTTCTCATTGGTTTGGTTTGTTAAGATGCGGACAAAAAACATAGATTCGAAGCATCAATTATTTCAACTTTTAAATAAATATTAGTAAAGACATCCTTATTTTGCATTTAAGAATTTTTTTTTTACAATAAGAGCTATTTTTTTTAACTCATTTTATTTAGATAATATGTGATTTGAATTTAAAATTTTATATAATTTAATAAAAAAATTATTATTAAATTATTTAACTTATTCACATTTGACATTTAAGAATTAAAATTGTGTGAGATTGTAAAATAATATTATAATATTATTTTTTATTTATATTTAATAAATTTAATTTAATTCATCTTGTGACAATAACTATGTGTTGGCTTGTGACAGTGATTATAAGCACGCTTAATGCTCTTAAGATCACCCGATGAAAATTACTCTTAAGATTTCTAATGAAATTAATCTTGAAATATGTAAAAATTTTTATGAAAAAACCGAAAAAACCAAAAAAATAGAAATATGTGAAACCTAATTAAGGAACACCCTCATTATAAATAAATAAATAAATATTGTACACTCCAATTAATTTGATCAGTTTGCAATGAACAAACAAAATGCATATAAACATTAATGATCTGTTAGTCTGAATAAAAAATGTTTATTTTTTTTAAATAAAAGTTTGAGTTCTATTCTTGTAAATGGAGGAATGAGTGTTGAAAGAACTTTTTTTTTATAAGATCTGATGTAGTCCCTTATAGGATCTAATATACTTAAATTGTAAATTAGTTAAGATTTAATGTGATTTTCTAATCATATAAAAACACAGGGCCGACTCTTGTTACTATAAAAAAATGTTAAAATCACTAATTTCTTAGTTTTTTTAAATAGTGTTTAAAATAGTAATTTATTAATTATTTTAATTTATTAACTATTAAATATCAATTATTCTATATTTATTAGTTAACATTTATAGTTATTAGCTATTTTTATTAATTAAGTTAAACAAAATTAATATTTTTAAAGATAATATTTTATAATTTTTAATTGTCTTAATATTTTGATTGGTTCAAGATGATTAATTTCATGGGAAGAGAAAAGTTTATTAGAGCACTACAGAAGCGTGCAAGAGAGGTTTGTCACTTTAGTGCAGTGGATTCATCCTTAGCTCACAATAAACAATATTGAATGACATAAAAGTGATAATAAATCTTCTCTTTGGAGACAAAGAAACGTAGCAAATGATCTTTGCTTTCTTACTAGTCCATATACATACCATGTAACTCTTCAAAGCCTGATTGGAAGATGAAAAGATTTTAGGGGAACGGTTGAGAAATTACGCACACCACAAATCTACAACCCAGGGACCTATTGGATTACTTTTAACTTACTGCGTTACCAAAAGAAAAAGAAAAAGAAAAAGGAAAAGAGAAAAAAAACACACACACAAACAATATGCACTGTAGCTTGCGTTGGTAATGATTTACAAGGCAAAGACTGCATTTTCTGCAACCTCAAGAAGAAAATGTCCAGCTTGCAATTCTTTGCATGCCTAATGCTGATATTTTTATTATGCCCCAAACCCTAGAGCAGAACAGATGCCGTACACCTGTGAGTGGGACTCACAAGTGCACCAGGCTTAGAACCAAATTAACCTACCATCCAAAAATCGAATACAATTAAATAATGTTTGCTAATACCCCTATGTTGGGGTAGTAATCTAATTAGCCATAAATGTAATAAAGGCCCATGAGGCCCAAATGTAAAGGAACACATCCATGAGTCACTATGGAACTCATATATACTCAAATGGATTCAAAGGGACTAATAAAAAGTGCAACACGTGTAAAGAACTTTTAAGGAGTTTATTGCTAATTAAATCATCAACTTCCTAATAATTCGAAAAGAACTAAATTCAGTCTCAACTAAGTTCAAACTAGCTTTAATAAGTATCTGGCACACACCTTGATCCCCAACGTCTCTAGTATCGTTACCTAAAATAGTGGATAAGGAAAAACGTGAGATTTACCCTCAATAAGTGAATATTAGGCTTTCTCTCTTTATTTATAAATTTCAAAATTAAGCAAGCTAACAAGTACAAATCAAGTATCAAGAAAAATTGGTATAAGTACGGGAAATAAAATCGATGTCTTCTGTATAAGTCATGGCCAACATTTATAAACCTCCCACTGACGGGCATAAGATTTACTAATGTATAATCCCACGAGCAGGATAACAAATATAACAAGAATGAATCGATTCTACAAATAACATGTCAACATGTACTAGTGTTTATAAACCTCCCACTAGCGGGCACAAGTAGAACATGACAATATTGGAGACTAAAACAAGCTCGCGTATACATTTCAAGTAAACATACTTATTTTAAGAAAACATATATCACAAGGGTCAAGCAACATGTATTAAGAAATTTCTATAATTGGATTTTCTTAAACAATTAAAATCCAACTTTGAATAAAATGAGATTCAGTAATGATGACTAAACCAAAACAAGTTCTTAATCCCACCACCATCTTAAAATCGATAAAAATCATGTTTTAAAATTATATTTAAAATTAAGGGTAAAATCATAAATTCACTTACCTTGAAAATAAAGATCTTAAATTTGAAATGCACAAATAATCAAAAACCTAAAATTTACATTTAATATTAATCAATAACAATTCAAAACTACTAATCCTAATTTAACTTAATGATATCTAATTTTATAAGATTCATATTAAATTTCCTGCACAGATATCTGCACCTATTTACCTATTTACTGACTAAAATTGAAGGTGTTAGTTAGCACCATTGAATCAACCCTTAAACCTCACACAGTACCCACGTACTGCGTCGTGCGTCACCACGTGCCCCAACTATTTTTATTCATATTATTTTAATGGATCAATAGGTGTCAACACCTGATCTGTTACTAGGATTAGAGTGTTGACAGTACTGCAAATCTCAAACCAACAAGGCGATGTCATTATCGCCACTCATCCTCGTGTAGCAGCACTCACACGCAATCGTGTGGGTGCTGCTGTACAGCGACTCCTTCCCCCTTTAATTTCTACTAATAAATCAATATATATATATATATATCATCTACTACTAATTCAATAATTTTTGAGGCAAAACATGAAAAATCATTAGATTTTGATATCAGATCTTAGACGAAACCTTAATAACAAATGTAAACAGAGATTTGGAGATTACAATATTAGGTTTAACAATAAAGATTCATGGAAACGAGAAAGAATAAGAAATCAAGAGGAACAAATATACTCACAATTAAAATCTTAGGGTTGAACTATAGGAGAAGAATACTACTAGATCTGAGAAGAGATATTTACTACGTAAAAACAAATTTATTTTGAAAAAGGAATAAGGTTAAGAGGCAGACTTCAAATCTGTTTGAATTTTATTTGGGAAAATAAAAATTCTTAAATTAAAAAGCATTAATTCCAAATTAAATATTTAAGTTAAACCTTTAATTTAATATAAAAATCTAAGATCATAAATCCCCATAATTGACAATTAATCCCAACCATTAATTAGGTCATGCACATTTAATTATATTGATTCCCAGAAATGAAGAAAAATATGCGGGTTGTTACAATTTTAGTGTCTAAAAGCCACTTTCTTAATCCATGGTCCATACAGAGAGGGTAGGAATCTGAGCATGCCATTTTGAGCATTGTCTAATACTAGGACTCTGGATGACTATGAGTCAATGTTTGAGCACCGGAGGTCCTGATCCAAAATATCACTGCTATTCTCAGTGATATATAGCAAGATCTAGTTCCTTACATCCTGGCATGAAGAAGATAAGTAGTTATATACTATGATGCTAGAAATAAAACTTTGTCGTTGTAAACTGCTCAGACAGGCCTGTCAGACAATTAATATCGGATGTACAAGTGTTAGATCAGAATTTTGGAATTTTGTTGTTCTTACAAGTGTTGGATCATTGTATAAAGAAAACTATAGTTGATTCTTTGTATAGTTGAACTCATTGACTGTATCAGCCTAAAAACAGTGCTGCTATGTATTATTAGTTCTTCTGGGTTAATATTTAGTGCACTTTTTACTAAAAAATTGAAAGGATTTATTAACAATCTCTATTAAATCAAGGAACTTTGAACTTGAATCCTTTCTGGTCTTCTTTTTCTTTCATTCTGCTGTATGGTGACTCAGGCCATAAGGCCTACTTGGCTCATTTTCATAAAGTGCCTTTATCACCCGGCAGTCTTTCTTTTTTTGCCATTGCCCAATAGAAAGGCCACCTTAAGAAAATGAATCAGATATTCAGATTAAGTTCATGTATGTGAAATTTGCCAGGGATTGGCTGAGCCTACACTTTTAAAAGTGTAATACAAACGAGTTTCATATTTTATTACTTTTCTGAACTCAGACAAAAACGCTAGTCTTAGTGTTGAACAAGCAGTGAATCTACTTTTCCAGGAGCTTGTTCACCTCTTATATGTCTAAGTAGATTAGACTTTCGGATTTCCTACATGATCAAGCAACAAAATTCCGTCTGTTGTCTGTAGTTTTATAACTTCAACTTTGCAGGACGGCATTACCGGCCCACTATTTTGCAGGGTGGATTCGCCCCAAACAGAATAGAATGTAATGGGGGGAGAAATGGTACTATATAAAAGGGTTTGGAGTAATGGCACTATATAAAAGGGTTTGGAGTTGGAATCATAAAGATAAAAGATTTAACACAAGGCTTGCATTCAACTTAAAATCAATTGGCAATAGGTGAAGTGCCTTATTTATATTTAACCCATAAATCTTTTCATTTTACACTCAAAGTGGAATTTCCTCACTCAAAATAGATGATAAAAATTTCAAAAGAAGCTCCCCCATTTCAAGAGAACTGCTCTTAGATTTTCCTCATAAGATTCTTTCTGACACGGTACATCACCTCAAATAGAGCAAGTTGAATATAAAGATTGGGCGGTGAAGAGGGTTAATTTCATTTCATTTGTTTTTCTTTTGTCGGTAATTGTTTTTTTGAGAAGGATGATGAGCATAAGAGCAAGAGAAAGGCAACAAAACGTAAAAAACTACCCTTTCCACTAAGTTGATTACTTTAAGAGTAGAAAATGCAGAAAAGGGAGGGTCTATGGCACTGTATATATATATGAATTCCCACTAGCTTGAATCTTATCAAGGCCATGTCATTTTCTCAGTAATCCTAAGAGAAGAAAATGGCTAGCTCAGTATTGCTTTCATTTCCATGGTGTGAAAGTCTTCCTTGCTCCATTTATAGAGGGGAGGAACTTAATTGCTTCAATTCAAGCATTAGCAGCTACGGAAGCTTTGAACAACAGAAAGGTAAGTGGACACACCAACAAAAGCCTGTATGATTCAAAACGGCTGAGTCACGGTGGCCCTGATCCCAAACATCATTACTGAAGAATTTCCAGGAATAATCAAGGATTCCCCGGTACAAAGAAAAACTCAGCAAACATAAACGTACGTACATATCAGTTTTCCAGAAAAAAGCGACTTATACATAACAGCTGCTTAAAACATAAAGAAGTTATGAACTGCAAAAATAAATTGCTACACCACTAAGCAAAATAAACTAACTGCAACCGCCACCACACAACACTAACATAATTATTTTAACAGACTTGGTCTCATCTGTTAACAGAAAAGATTGTGCCAAGCACATATACTGAGTCTTTGATGTAACTCAGCCAAAAACATTATGCTTACATATCATTTTACAGAGAAAAGCAGCAACTTAAACATGACAATTGCTAGAACATGAAAGAGTTAAGAAACTGAAAAATAAAGTGGAAAAAAATAAACTGCAAGCACATAACTACCAACTTTAGTAGCATAACCGGATGGGAAAAGAGAAGAAAGTGATGACGATCGATAACGTGAAGATTGCGTTGAGGGAGGCCAAGGAGGAGATTGGTTTGGCTTTGGACCCTTCTCTTGTTGATGTTGTTGCTGTTCTTGAACTGTTTTTGACCAAGGTAAAATCATCAACTCTGCACTTGTTCACTTCTCTCTGCATCCAGAATTTGCATTATGCCATAGTCAATTAAAGAAATTCATTTCCCAAATAGTTTTTCTTTTTCTTTGGGGGGGAGGGGGGGTTTAGAAGATGAGGGGGAACTGTTCACAAGGGAAGAAGAAAATGTATATAATGCCATAGGCAGTTCAAGTCAAATCTGAAAAGACGTTTGAACAATTATCAAAATTTTTGTTAATTGTGTGATAAAAAGAATGGATGAAATGGTTTTGTTGTTTGTCTACAATCTTTATGGAAGAAAAATCCAACCCATCTCATGAAGTTAGGGGAGGAGAGCACTGATTCAGTTTATGTCTGAATCTATTTGATCCAGCAGGTGAGCTATGACCTTTGAAAAATGTTAAAATTCCTGTTAACTAAATGGAGCCTTTTCATAAGTTATAGTGTAGAACTGGTTTTCAATTTGCAGCATTGCATGACAATTGTCCCTGTGGTTGGTACTCCTTATGACAAGGAGGCATTTAGTCCAACTCCCAGACAGCAGAAGTTTCTCATGGTTTTCTTCTGGTTCTAAATCTCTACTGGGCATTTCATTCTTTGAGGAAAGTGAAATCTCTTTGACAAATTTGTTTGTTGTTTATCTCATGTTTGGTGAAACAGGATGAAAACCGAAGAGCAGAAGAGAGGGAATGGTTGGGAGACAAGTATTTGCTCCATTTGTTTGACAATGAAGTAGAAAAGGAGAAGTATACAATACAGGCATTAACAGCAGGGATATTGATCAAGGTTGCATCAGTTGTCTACCAGAAACCACCAGCATTTCTAGAGCCTATGCCAAAGTTCTCGAGTAACTATTAAGAGAGCCAGCTAACCCGTAGGTCCATAGTTCTTCCATCAAAGATTGCATTTTCTGCAACCTCAAGAAGAAAATGTCCAGCTTGCAATTCTTTGCATGCCTAATACCGATACTGCTTGTAGTTTCAGCGTCTGAAAACCGTTTTCTTAATCCATAGTCCATACAATGAGGGTAGGAATCTGGGCAGGCCATTTTGAGCATTGTCTAATACCAGGACTGTGAATGACTCTGGGTCAGATATTACTCTTAAGAACCAAAATGACCACGAGTCAAAATGTTTGAGCCCTGGAGCTCCTGATCCAAAATGTCACTGATGTTCTCAGTGATATATAGCGAGTATCCAGTTGCTGACATCCTGTCATGAAGAGGATAAGTAGTAGTATATTATGATGCTAGAAAATGGACTTTGTCACTGTAAACTGGCAAGACAGGACTGGCAAACAAATTAATACCGGCTGTATAAGTGTTAGATTAGTAGTTGGAATTTTGTTGTTCTTGTAATTGTTAGATCATTGTATAAAGAATACTTAAGTAGTTGATTCTTTGTATAGTTGAACTCATTGACTGTGTCAGCCTAAAAACAGTGCTGCTTTGTGGTTCTATTAGTTCTTCTGGGTTAATAAATTTTACCTTTTTCCTAAAATATTGACAGGATTTATTAACATCTCTATTAAATCATGGAACTTTGAACTTGAGTCCTTTCTGGTGTGTGGTGACACTGACTCGACCATGCAGCCTCGTTGGCATTTTTTTATGGAGTGCCTTTATCTCACAGCAGTCTCTTCCTTTTGCCATTGCCAATAGAAGGGCCACCTTAAGAAAATGAATCTGATATTCAAAGTTCATGAAAGTGACATTGGCTAAGGGATTGGCTGAGCCTACACTTTCAAAAATGTAATAGAAAGTGTTTCATATTTCATTACTTTTCTGAACTCACTTAATCTTTGACAACAAAAGACAAAAATGCTACTCATGTGTGGAAAAAGCAGTGAATCACCTACATTTTCCAAGAGCTTGTTGACCTTTTAAATGTCTAAGCAGATTAGACTTTCGGCTTTCCTACACGATCAAGCAACAAATTCCATATGCATTCTGTAGTTTTATAACTTCAACTTGGCCGCACGGCATTACCGGCCCACTACTTTGCTGAGTGGATTCATCCCAAACAGAACAGAATGTAATGGAGGCGAGATATAATAGTACTAGCCAAGTTAATATATATAAAAAGGGTTTGGAGTTTGACTCATAAAAGATAAGATAATACAGACAACTGACCTTGGAACCATTGATTAAGTGGGGTTAGAAGTGGCCTAGATAATCCAAGGCAATGCGTGTTACTCCTTCAACCCAACTGGATGATGGAATTTTCAGAAGGAGCTCCTCCAATTCAACAGAATAGCTCTTAGATTTTCCTCATAACAATAAGATTTTCTGACACGGTATGACCTCAAACTGAGCAAGTTGAACGAAGGATTAGGCAGTAAAGAGGGTTAATTTCATTTAATTCAACTATAAACCAATTTTGTCTATTAGGCTCACCACAAATTGTCTCGCTCTTTGGTCGGTAATTGTTTTATTTGAGAAGGACGTTGAGCATAAGAACAATAGATATGCAACAAAACGCAAATGACGATGTCCTTTTCCATTCCACTAACTTGATTAGTTGGAGTAGAAAAAGATGTAGAGAAGGGTCTATGGCACCATATATATAGATATATGAATTCCTCCCAGCTTGAATCTCATCGAGTCCATATCATTTAATTTCTCAGTAAATCCTAAGTGAAGAAAATGGCTAGCTCAGGATTTTTTGCCTGTCTGGTGCTACTATTATTGCTTTCATTTCCGTGGTGTGAAACTCGTCCTCTTACTCCATATATAGAGGGGAGGAACTTAATTGCTTCAATTCAAGCAATAGCTGCTAAGGAGGCTCTGAACAATAGAGAGGCAAAACTGATTGGCTCCGCATCAGCAACTGCGGAAGCTTGGACCAATATAAATGTAAGTGGATACATCAACAAGGGCCTGTATGGTTCGAAACGGCTGAGTCCTGGTGGTCCAGATCCGGAGCATCATTGGTGAAGAATTTTCTAGAAATAATCAAGGATTTTCCGGAAGAAAGAAAAGATTCTTCCCATGCTGCATTGCGGCTGGTAGTTTCGATTGCATGTTGGCATCACATTGTGCATCAGCTCCTAATATTTTCTGTCTGGGGAATGCTTGTAGGCTCGATGAGTCTCCTTTTCCTTCTTTGTTCCTTTGGTTTTCTTCTACTGTTTTGTTCTTTGCATTTAATAAAGGAAAAGGCTGTGTGTTTGGTATTGGAAAACAAGGCTGTATCTTGCCTTCATTTTCTTTAAAAAAATAAAAAAATGAGTAAAAAAACTCATTTAATATTTGAAAATAAAATCATTAAAAAAAAAGGAAAATATAAGAAAATGGAAAACACTTAAAAAGTTGAATTCTAAAATTGGAAAACACCCAGGCACTTTATTGAATTTTTTTTTTTTTGTATTAACTTCTCGGTATCTGAAAATTAGATTGAATCTCGATTAATCTGGAATCGAATCACATAGAACCAATTACATTGAGTCTCGACTAATCGGAATCGAACCGCGTAAGACCCATTAGAAAGAAAACTCTCACAACACTTATTTCTCTATTCATAAGACTTGAACTCAAAATCTTATTTAAGTGAAACTGAATTCTTTTCACTTGGAGCATACTTTATTGAAATGAAAATAAAAATAAATTGCACATATACATAGGGACCCATACGAGACAAATAAAAGTGTGTGCCTTAAAACTGTTTATTATTAAAATTGACCACTCATATAAAACCCAATATAAGATGGAACTAGCTTTGGGATCTCCTTTGGTCCTCGCTCTGCGCCCTTTACGGTTCATCTCTAGTTTCCAGTGCCTTTTGTCGAGATATCTCCGAGTCAGATCTATTTTGGTAACGATTTGTCTATTCTCTACTGTTTTCCCGTCTTTGCGGTGCTTCATTTTGATGAATCAACATGCACGGAAAAGGAAACCATCGGCTGACTTTCTTTCCGGAAAAGGAAACTATCAACTGGCTCTCTTTTGGGATCTCTTCCTTTCTAATTTTGGGACTCGTTGCCAGTGATTGACTCCCTGGTAGCTTTTATTGGGATTTCCTCTCTTTCCGATTTTGTTTTTCATATTTTCACTTGAATTCTGTAGCAGTTCTATCGTTCTAATGTCTATGAATGGTTTCTTTCCCTGTTGGATTAAATATTTTTAAAATTATTGAACTAAGATGGATTTTCATATTTTTTTTCCTCGATTTTCATTTTCGGGTGCGATTTGTTTTTGCTAATTCTCTTGGAATTTAGCTGATCATGTGGGTTGGCAAGATTACTCCGGATTTGAAAATCTGAACAACCCACTTAGGTTAATGGATTTAAGGTATTAATTTAAAATTTAATATGATT